TCACTATGCATGTTCTCCATAAGGTCGTACGACCTCAAGACAAATAGCGTATTTCCCTTTAGCGCGGGAATATTGAAATACCTGAGTTTGTGTCCAGGCGCGCGGTAAATCCGTTGGAAGTCAGAGACCCTTAGCTTTTCTAAGATATCTCTGAGGAGAGGTGGCTTCTCTGAGCCTTGTTTGGCAATTCATTTAGTCTTGGTATCACAAACAAAATATACTAGGCAAGGAATAACCCGATACCAACCAACGTATTCGTACAATGATGGAAACATAAATGAAATATTAAACTGTCATGGTTTTGAATCTGTCGGACGGAGCTCCGAGGCTGAGAGGGAAGTGGGTGCTATCGTGCATGGCAAGAGTCGAGATGAAAGATGAGCGTTATCTTGCTACTCGTAAATTACGGAATAATCAAGTTAATCTGTATTCACGCAAGAAAACGTAATGAAATAAGAAGAAGAAAATGTAATGAAGAAAGAGGAAGAAGGCGATGGAGCAATGAGGATAGTAAAACGGCCCTGAAATGACATACACTAGCTTTGGCGGACGGAAAACATTATTATTATTATTATTATTATTATTATATAAAAACTATTTTTCACCTGCATTTATTTTAGAACCAGAGCCATAAGGTAATTGCAGGATATATGTTTCCACTTAAATAAACAAAATACAGCTATTAACAAAAATAGCTTAAAATAATATTTTATTATTATTATTAGTAGTAGTAGTCGTATTATTATTATTATAAAAATTATTTTCGACTTGCATTTGTCCTAAAGTAACCGAAAGATGTGATTTTTTTGTCTTCAACTTGATTAAACAAAATACTATTAACAAAAGCTATTAACAGAAAAATCTATTTTTGACTTGCATTTGTTTTATAACCCTAAGGTAATCGAAGGATGTGTTTCCACTTAAAAATACAGTTATTAACAAAAAACAGCTTAAAATATTATTATTATTATTATTTCGGTATTTTCTGAAATATAACTTAATATTTGGTAATTAATGCATAATTCTCTGACTATAAACATTTATCATTGTCGTTCCTAAGAGGCTTCCTTTCTGCAACATTGGAAAATCAATGCACATTCTCTTTATTATTATTGTGCTTATCTCTCCCTTCGTTAGTTCACACGACCGTTACGTCCTGCCAATACCTCATATATAATGGAGTATTCTGTTTTGATCACGTAGAAAGAGGGGAAAAGACACTACTTGGTTTCAGTGAGAAAATCAAAGAAAGAAGTATTCAACGACTGTTTCAGTGAAATGGAAAGAGTTGTCAATTTCAATTTTTTTTTTCATTTGTACCTATTCATTTGTATTCTTAAAATAACGACAAGCATTCATATTTATGATTGTTATTGCAATATTTTGTTAAAAGCTGTTAAGCTCAAATATTTAACGATGTGATAGGCAAATTTCTATGGATATTTTATTGTCGTAGAACTCGCCATGAGCTTACTCAATCATTAACTTAAGAATTAAGCTTCATCAGAATATGAAAATAGTAAAACTGTGAAATTTTCACGCGTTAAAACTAGTTATTATTATTATTATTATTATACAACTTTACAAAAATATTGCTATGAACTACAACCATTTTTTAATTTTTTTCTCTTACTATTATTATTGATTTAAAACTTTCAAATGTTCTTTGCGGTTTTTCGTTATCGTTTATCTTACGCTTACAATGTGGTTAATGCATTTTTCGCCTCTTTCTTGAGAGATTAAATATGAAAAAAAATGTTCTTACAAAGATTATTTGTGCAATTGAAAACCACTTTGATGTTAAAATATCCACAATTCGTTCAGCCGTTCCTTTTTCATATGTCATGCTTCTTACTGTAGCAACATCTTTAGCGATTCTGTGGTTCTACGTACGCCTTCCTCTCTTCGGATTGGCACAAATAAGGGATGGGCAGTTGTTACGGTACTGATTACTGTTTATTTATCAAACTGAAAATGAATGTCAGGCTGGTTTCGATTCTATGCTTATACGAATCTCTTAGCTTAGCAAAGAAAGAATTGAAGAGAATATTTACAAATAAAAGTACTGTGTTTCGGACAATGGAACTATACGAATAAGCTAAGCAGATTAAATATATTTACCGCCATTCTATTCTGTTTGTACCATTATCGCAAAAAAACAAGACATATTTTTCTTTACACTTGAAGAAGGTTATCGAATGGATCGGCCGAAACGAAAGAGCAATAAAACAATGAGTTCAAAAGTCAAAACAGAATAATTAAAATAACCAGAATCAATAACGTTAGTTTTCATTTGTTTTTATAAAAAGAAATTCTAAAAATTCTAAGAATAAATTGTATTTGCAGAGAAATAATGTTAGTCACCATTGCAATACTTTAAACATGTTTGTTGGCCTTGTGTAAGAAAAAAGTTTAAAATGTAAATTAACTCCGAAAAACATTCTTATAGCTTGTAAAAATCTCATTGTTGTTGCCTGTTATAGAAGGTACTTCGACGTGATGTAATAGTTAGCAAGCTTGTTTCGCTAGATCAATTACAAGTGAGTTCGATCCTCAATACGTGTCGTCCTGGGTAAGACGTTAAACTACGTCCAGCAGCAAGGTCTTTAATCAGGAAGTTTTGAGGAGCGTGGAACCACGTCTTAATTGCTGGTGTTCTCAGGTCCATCCTGACCCGGGGTGGTAGCTGTTAGGGTCCCAGCTATGGACAAATAGTTAACTATTACCAGCAATACTTTTTTGAAAAAAATTATTACCAGCAATACAATTTTGAAGGAAATATATTACCAGAAACAGATTTTTGACAAAACAGAATATTACCAGCAATAAAAAAGTTTTATCGGCATTAAATAACCCATTGATGTTGATATGCCGTAAAACAAAATAAACCTAACCAAACCAATCTAAACCAAAGAATACATATTCTATTCATACGAATCTATCCTAAAAATGTTGTTGGCATTAAATAACTCATTGAGGTTGATATGTCGTTAAACAAAATAAACCAAACCAAACCTCAATATGTGCCCCATACATTTGACCTTGCCCCACATCTAAGTTACACTTAGAAAATCATTCGGCAGTTGGACGTAGTGTAATGGTTAGCTAGCTTGTCTCGTTAGATTAATTACGACTGAATAGTCAGTTCGATCCTCACTGAGTACCCCATTCTTTCGGCCTTGTGCCACATGTAAGCTACGTTTACAAAATCATCCAGCACTTTGACGTGGTGTAATGGTTAGCAAGCCTGCCTCGCTAGATCAATTATGATTTAGTGAGTTTGATCTTCACTAGGTGCTCCACACTTTCGGCCTTATGTCACATCTAAGCTATCGCCATTGTTGTTGGCTATTTATACTTATTTTATTCTCCACGTAATTAGAATTATATTACGTCCAATTATTTCGCTTATCGTTTTCATTAACCGGTTAAATGTATTTCCCAAACCGAAAACCTTCACAAATTCCTTCCTCCATAGTCTGAAGATTGCACCTACGTAAGAAACTGATAGTTGCGGAGGCGTAAGAAGTCAGAATTTGAAAGACATTTATAATTATATTGAAAGTTCTGTATTGTACATCAATCGCTTTAATCTTATGTGTCCGTTTTGTGCCTGTTAGAAAGCCGTCGTCGTCGTTAGGAAGATGACGAGATGCACTATTGAAGCATACTTCTTATTCATTCAAGGCTGATTACAAATAACCATGTTTTTCCCAGCTACTTCTAAACTTCATATTTTCGTTTAAAACTGTTTTAGTTTAATTAATTGACATTATTATCATTATTGGGGTCGCTATTGTTTTGAGTGCAATTAACATGTTACTAATTATTTTCCTTTTTAACACAATTAACACAAGCAATAAAATAATCATTAATTTTCCTTTTAATAATGTTATGTTATTTTAATCTGACACAAAGCTACAATGGTGCGACACCCAGTAAATTTCAGACTCATTCCAATTTTTCTGAATGATCAATTTACTATAATAGTGAATTTGATGTTCACAGGCTCCATACTATTATTGTATGAAACGAAGTTGACTTTAGTAAATAAAGAATTACATCTATTTTAATTATTATCCCAGTTATCGACATTTTTATTTATTTATTTTTTATTTTATTTTATTTTTTTTATGTTTTTATTTTTTTGCCGATGAACGTCGGAGAGTAAGCATCTTCAAATATAAGTTGTTATTATTATTAATACTTCTTTTGAATTTTCGTTGTATACAGATTTCCTTCGGTCAGAAATTGCATCATGGCATTTTCCACTGATCATTTTTGTAAAAAAAAAAAAAAAAAAAAAACTAAGACCACACTCATTTTATAAAGAGAAAGCTCTTTGTAATGTGTGAGCTGTACTTGGGAGCATAATTTTGTATATTTCTTTAAGACGTGGGTTAACAGACATCCCTTTAATGAATCTTCCAGAACCTCTTTCAATCAATCCGAGGGCTCCAACTACAACTGGAGTTATTGATGTTAATTATTATTATTATTACTATTATTATTATTATCATCATTAATATTATTGTTGTTGTTGTTGTTGTTGTTGTTATCGTTATTATTATTATTTCTTCAAAAATATCAGAATTCAACCAATCATTATATTTTTCAAACAAATAAAAATTGTTCTTACTTCAATTTTATTTGCCTTTTTCTTTGTTTTATTTATTTTTTAAAATTCTGCTTGGATACTATCTCGTAGTTCCTTTCAGTTTTTAATGTTTCGTCTTTTCTTTCTTTCTTTCTTTCTTTCTTTCTTTCTTTCTTTCTCTCTCTCTCTCTCTCTCTCTCTCTCTCTCTCTCTCTCTCTCTCTCGTTTGTTACTTCCATCCCTTTCTTCCTTCAAACACTCTCATCTTTTGGTTTCTCTACCCCTCTTATGCACCACCCCCCATATTCATTTTTCTCTCACCGTGGGAGAAATTGTTCTTGAGAAATAATTGCCTTTCACCAAATCTCGAAGACCATCGCGCACAATCCAACAAGACACCGGTTCAGGACTCAAAGAAAATAGCTGAAGGTTCAGAACGGCGTGGACGAGCCGAGGTTTGATTTTACTGTAAATTCCGCCGTCTATAAGCAGCTTACCCACTGTTTGACCTTTTCGATTCTTTCCGCAATTCTTCAGTTGACCTTTGACATGGATCAGCTGACCTAAATATACAAGGCATAATCTTTTTATACCAACACCGAAAACATGAAACACGTTTGTCCCTTCAAAAGCTGAAGGTAAGTAACATAAAATTAATTCGAAAACAAAAGCAAAGAATATTTCATCAGTAATTTACAAATTGTTCCAGAGCGTCAAGTTATCCTGATTATTATCGAAATAGAAGCAGCAAGTTCAGAAATTATCTTGGTCGTGTAAACAGATGATGGAAAATGTAACACAGAAATCCGAAGACGTATAGAAATAGGGAAAGACGTTTTTCAGAAACTAAGTAAATTATTAAGGGATCAAAAATGTCTACAAAAACACAAAAAAGAGTTTTAGATTTATTGCTAAATAATGCCATCTTGGATATGACAGAGAATGCTGAACAATTTCCCAAAAGATAACTGAAAGAATTGTTAGGCAAGTTAGTCGAGGACAGTAAGAAGAAAGGACTATTAAAAGAGAGAGTACGTGGATCCAGAAAAGCCTAGTTTCAAGTTACCTATTTGGGATGTCAAAATCAAACAGGCGCGAAAATTTAGCTATCTGGTTAGGGTAATAAGAGATCTTGGAAAGTGTGATATAGAAAGCTGAAGGTGTACAGGAACAGTGAAAGATGCTTTTCGGAAACTAAATAAAGTATTAAGGTATCAGAAAATGTCATGAGAAACAAAGAAAAGAGTGTTTAATGTTATGTACTGTTTAACATTCCTTACGGTGGGAAATGCTGGACATTTTCTTCATAGATGAAGAAAAGATTTGAAGAGACTAAGATATTTTGCAAAAGCAATGGACAGATTATGCGAGAAACTTTTCCTAGAATCGGCAATACAACTGCTGAAAGTAAAAAAGAAATAGATGATTTTTTAAGACCAATACTGGGGATAGAAAGCTTGGAGAAATGAATACTCACAGGGTTCATTGATGTCAAAGGGGAGAAAACATTGAAAAACCTAATTGACAAGTTTAAGTAATGGATGGCGCAAGAAGTAACAAAAGCGAGCTTTTAAAGGATATGTATTACTTAGAGCAACAACATACAAGAAGATGTGGTGGGCCATGATTTTCAAGAAGGGGCATGGTAAACTGAGGGAGTTTTTATCTTTGCTCTAAAAAAAACTGAAAATAAAAGAATGCAATCGTTACCTGGAAACATGAACAAGGCATTCTTTTGTTTATTGCATTTCATATTAAATTTCAGATATAACAATTTCAGAAGTGGCTAGAATGCTGAATTGCTATGTAATATTAATCCTTCGACATGGTAGGGAATGTTAAACAATTTGAGCACAGATAAAGAGGAGACCAGGTAACAGATGTGATTTTACAGAAAGATGCTTCGAATAACATGGACTGAACATGTGAGCAGCGGAGAAGTTTTAAGGAAAATGAAAATGAAAAGTATACACTTACTTAAGAACAGGAAAAGAAAATTGAAATTTCTAGGACACATAATGAGGACCTGGAGAATTTGACATTCACAAAATATAATGAAAGCAAGAGGGAAATATTTATTAAACTGCTTAACAAGAAAGAAGGATAGTTTTTAAAAAACAGTGACTAGGATGGATAGTTTAAAAAAAAACAGTTGTTAATTAAAAAAAAATAGTGTCTAGGATACATAGTTGAAAAAAACAGGGTCTAGGAAAAATAGTTTAAAAAATAGGGTCTAAGATAGACAGTTAAAAAATAGGGACTAGGATGGATTGTTTAAAAAACAGGGGTTAGGAAGAATAGTTAAAATAATAGGGTATAAATGGATAGTTAAAAAAAACAGGGACTAGAATGGATAGTTAAAAACACAGGTGCTAGGAAGGATAGATAAAAAATAGGGTCTAGGATCGGTAGTTAAAAAACAAGGACTAGGGCGGATAGTTAAAAAAAACAGAGGTTAGGAAGGATGGTTAAAAAGAATAGGGTCTAGGAGGATACTTATAAAAACAATGACTACGATGGATACTTAAAAAAGGGCAACAAAAAAAGAAACATTGCTAAAAGCTACCATAGACAGGAAGTTGTGGGGAGCCATGATCGTCTACATATTGAAGGGATAGAATCCATAAAATAACCAAAAGTTCGGAAACGTCAACAAATTCATTTATCAAAATGATTAATCGATATTTCCCAAAATGTCTAGCTAAACATCATTTCACATGTCTCTCTCGAAATTATAGTGTGTGTGTGTGTGTGTGTGTGTGTGTGTGTGTGTGTGTGTGTGTGTGTGTGTGTGTGGTATGAAGCTTACCTAAAATGCCTGCCGTATCGTTGGACAGGCCCGTCCCGTCAATGAGATAAAGGTCAAGATATTTGACCCTCTTGTCATTTTTCCCGGCCATTGACCGCTTAATGTGAAACTGTTGACCTTTACTGAGAGTTAACAAAAGGTCTCGACCTCTTCCATTGATCACCATGTTTATCTTCCGGTTTGTTACGGAACTTTCCTTCCTCCAAGAGAAAACACGGCCGTTGTAAACGATTCTTTCTGGATTTATATCCAAAGTCACCCACCAAGTCTGAATCACGATACGTCGCATGAAGGTCTTCATCCAACTGTTCTGTCGGTATTTACTGGAACCTTCCATGATCTCAGAACGAATATAGACCCCTACAAATTGAAATAACAAATTTTACAAGTTTTTAAAGTATACAAAATATTTCAGTTCAGAAAAGAAAAAAAAACTTTCTAAAGCATCAAAATTATTTCAGTTCAAATTTTTAAAAAAAGTCCTAAATATTTGTTGCACGCAAAAGTTTCCAGCAAAATGCCGGTTTTCAGTTGTGCATTCAGTTTCCAGTTTTAAAATAGAAGCGCTGTGGACATTTGCACACACCTAAAGCATCCCATCTTTTTACGTTTATTTGACATTAAACAGTTTTCATTCATATTTTTAACTGAGAAAAAAAAAACGATTTTCTTCAAAACAAACCAAAAGCTATAAAAAAAAACAGTACGAAGACTTCACAAGAGGAAGGCACGGATTTCTACTTAAGTCGAGTTAATAAAGTGGCGAAATAGATTCTGTAACTAGATCATTTTCTTCCATTATGAAACCAACTTCCACACGTCTTTCTTAATACCTAACCACATGAAAAAAAGATCGTGTGAAATATTTTATATTTGTACTTCGGCAAAATAGCCTGTGGTGTTTCGCTACTTTTGCCATTCACATGAAGACGACTTTTGCTTTTTAATCAGTTTTTGCTTCCCATACGTAAAAAGGTAATGTGACAGAACCTTAAGCCCGCTAGCATAACAACAAAACCAAGCCTGTTAAGTGTGGCCCCACCACTTGGGCTTAGGTTTCATTTGTAATGAATGCAATATGTCAACCAATCACAAGTGGGTTTTGTCTTTTGCAATGACTAACCTAAAAGCAAAAGTAAAGCCTTGTTGACCTATTTGCAGACAATAGCATTCACTACTGCGCAAGACATTAACCAAAATTTGCGGGAAAAAAAGAATCGGGGCGAGTGAGGGGGGGGCTGACATGAGGGATATTCATTCTCATTTTACACAATGCACAACATCAAAACAAAACTCTCCCGTTATCTCTCTCTTATTCTTTCTCTCGGTATATATTCCACCCCCCTCTCTCTCTCTCTCCCTCCCTTATATATATATATATATATATATATATATATATTCCCTACTATATTCCTCTTCTTACTCTATATATAATTATATATGTATGTACCTCTCCTCTCTCTCTCTCTCTCTCTATATATATATATATATATATATATATTTATATATATATATATATATACATCCTCTCTCTTTTCTATAATTCCTTTCCCTATATATTGCTCTCTCTCTCTCTCTCTCTCTCTCTCTATATATATATATATATATATATATATATATATATATATATATATATATATATTCTTTATTTCACTCTTCTATATCCCTCTGTGTGTGTATATATATATATATATATATATATATATATATATATATATATATATATTCTCTTCATCTTTCGATATTTCCCTCTCTCTCTTTATTCCTCTCTCTTTCTATAGACACGCACACACACACAAACGCACACACATACACAAACAAACAATCGCCTTGGCTGTTACCATGGAAATTTTGATTTCAATTATGAATATACTATTAAAACACGTAAATTTCAGAAATAAGTTATTCCCAAAAAAATTTCGCTTGAAGATGGAACAGAGCTTACTTTAACTCAATTTAATTCAAATAATTATATTGAAGTTTTCGGCTCTTGTTTTGAAACATGAGACCTCTTATGTCGCGAGTTGGAATCATATTTTTAAATTAATAATTATATTTATGCTCTACT